AGAGGCAGAGAGCTACTTTTATATCAGAGAAGAGGCAGAGAGCTACTTTTATATCAGAGAACAGGCAGAGAGCTACTTTTATATCAGAGAAGAGGCAGAGAGCTACTTTTATATCAGAGAAGAGGCAGAGAGCTACTTTTATATCAGAGAACAGGCAGAGAGCTACTTTTATATCAGAGAAGAGGCAGAGAGCTACTTTTATATCAGAGAAGAGGCAGAGAGCTACTTTTATATCAGAGAACAGGCAGAGAGCTACTTTTATATCAGAGTAGAGGCAGAGAGCTACTTTTATATCAGAGAAGAGGCAGAGAGCTACTTTTATATCAGAGAAGAGGCAGAGAGCTACTTTTATATCAGAGAACAGGCAGAGAGCTACTTTTATATCAGAGTAGAGGCAGAGAGCTACTTTTATATCAGAGTAGAGGCAGAGAGCTACTTTTATATCAGAGAACAGGCAGAGAGCTACTTTTATATCAGAGAAGAGGCAGAGAGCTACTTTTATATCAGAGAAGAGGCAGAGAGCTACTTTTATATCAGAGAACAGGCAGAGAGCTACTTTTATATCAGAGAAGCGGCAGAGAGCTACTTTTATATCAGAGAAGAGGCAGAGAGCTACTTTTATATCAGAGAAGAGGCAGAGAGCTACTTTTATATCAGAGAACAGGCAGAGAGCTACTTTTATATCAGAGTAGAGGCAGAGAGCTACTTTTATATCAGAGTAGAGGCAGAGAGCTACTTTTATATCAGAGAACAGGCAGAGAGCTACTTTTATATCAGAGAAGAGGCAGAGAGCTACTTTTATATCAGAGAAGTAAGTAAGTAAGTAATGTTTATTTATATGGCGCCTTTCACAGACCAGAGTCACAAAGCGGTTTATAATGACGAGACGACAATTGACGAGAGTGCTAACCACTCAGCCACCGTGCTGCCCCAGAGAAGAGGCGGAGAGTTACTCCTAATAAAAATCTAAAATAAAGAGAGAAGACACATGAAACTATAACACAGTATAACGCTCTTGGCTATTCAGCTGTTATGGTCCCAGCTGGATTCGTCTGCATATCTGGCAACCTGAGTCAGGGAGAGTGGGAGAGGCTGCAGTACCACTTTTGGCCACACGTTTACATACTGCTCCTTTAAGTGAACAGACCTTTACATGTCAGGGTTTTACTTTGTTGTTACTTTGTTGTTACTTTGTTGTGTGAGTGTCACCTTGGTGTGCAGAGCCGGGGGGCAGTCGTCCAGCCGCACCCCGAAGGTGACCCCCGGAGACGGCTTCCTCTCAAAGGGTTTCCTCATGAGGCCTGGGATCCCCTTCCTCCAGGTGCTTTTGTCCTTTGGGGGGCTGTCGTCTGTGGAGAAACAAACGATAATATGTTTGTGAAAGCAAGGGCGTAGGTTTGCGTGGGGACCATGGGGACATGTCCCCACCAATATTTGGTGAGGACTAAAAAGTCCCCACCAAAATGACATGATGTCCCGTGACCCGGACGGTCCGGGACACATGTCTTCCGTTTGTGCACACGTCGCGCCTCCTCCTCGCCTCCAGAGCAACAGCAGCAGCACGTGACCCGTTCCGTTCTCTGCAGTGATTGGCTGTCTTCTTCAGCGCCAAACTGAAGCACTGAGCGACTGTTTAATTTTTAAAAGTTAGCCAGCGTGAAGCAAGTGTTTTTTTTCGTTCCCTGAGCGTTGTAGCACGTGAGTAATCAGAGGAAAGTACTGTAGATCTATTACCATTCAAAGTACTTACGTTATTTCTAATCTGTCAGCGCACTGTTTAATGTTCCGAGGAGCTCACACGGCACAGAGACAGAACAGAACTGGCTCCAATAAAGAAACAGGTTGGTTGAAAGGCTGAAAAAATACTTATTGTGCTCTTACTATCCAAAATGTATAAGTGGGTGTGTTGTGTGAATCAGGATAAACTAGGGATGAAAATATTCCACGGATCCACGATTTACAACCTTTATCTGCTGATAATGTAATTTCTGTGAAATGTGTGACAGCGGGCACTTGCTGTTATTTGCTCTAAGCACATTCAAGCGATGCACTCGAATGTGCACGTCCTGGTGCAGCTGCTGCCGCTTTGTAATGACAGCCGCGGCGCTCAGTGAAAGCACAGCTCTAACATGGTACCGAGCTCGGACCATATGCAGACAGAACCATGTTGCAAGTGCGGGTCTCCCTCGTATCTCCCCCGTTTCTCCCCTGTGTCTCTGACATGTCTCTCCCCTGACTCTTCCCAAAGCGCAACCAGCGCTCCCGAAATTAAAGCTCGGATACCTAAATTTTCCATTGCGTTAACGATGCATGCTGGTTGTGCCTAAAACACACCACAACAGGTCATTTAAGTTTTTATTTTGCATACTTGAGAGCCCTGTGAGTCATTACTTTCCTTTTTGGGTTGAGAGTGGAATAAAAAAAAGAAAATATAGAAAAATCCACACTGTTACTTATTGCCAAACTCTTGTTAACTCATTGTATTGAGAAATACTATGTAACTTTTGACATTGGCCAAGTTATATAAATGATTCTGCAGTTCATGTATATGAATGTCTGTTTTTGATTTTCTATACCTTCTTATATAATTTAGAAAAAATGCCACCTCCACAAAAAAAGATAAAAGATATCAGGAGCTTTTTTAACAGTTGGAAAGTAAGTAAGCGAAAGCACAAGTAATAGCAAATTATGAATTGTGATGATTAATCTTCTGTTAACATACATAGGAAACTCAACCAACAAGAGAGAACAATATAGGGAATGTTGAGGTAGAAACAACAGGCCCTTCAGTGCATCAGGCGAGGTTGGAATTTTGTAGGTATGCATGGGACCAGCCATTCCCAAACTCAGTAACACCGAGGCCCCCTTAAAAATCTGACGGGTCTGCGTGGCCCCCCAAAATAATAACCAAGAAGACAACATTAAGAATAGGCTCTTCTGGTTATTTTATTTTGGGGAAATAGCCTCTGCTACAAACATTGTAATACAAAAATGATTACAGTGGATTTTTCAAGTCAAATAATGAACACAAATATTTTAATATTACAAACAAAACATTATAAATTTAACATTAAATAATTATATTATTTTTTAATTTTTTTTATGACCTCCCAAGGCCCCCCTGCAGTACCCTCGCGGCCCACCAGGGGGCCGCGGACCCCACTTTGGGAGACACTGCATGGGACTATGAATTGTTTTTAGAGATTGATCGTATATGTCAAACAATGTAGTGAGCTACTCACTGTAGATTCTAATTCAATATTTTCTCCTCTGTTTGTATTTATTATAGGAAATTGAAAGATCAGAGCATGATTTATTTCAAGTATCGAGAGCAGTTCCTGAACTGTTAGAGCCTCAGGTGAGGGCTATTATGTAGATTTGGATTAGGTTTAAGTCAGTATAGAATGAACGCAACACAAAACTCAGAAGCTCTGATCCAATTGATTTTGTTTTAACTATTAGAAAAAATCCTTAACTGCTTCTCATTCAGTCTACAGCTGAGTTTAGTATAGAAGGCAACACACTATTGCAAATATAGTGTGTGATTACACCACAAATTCTGGGGGAGAAACTCTGGACCCCGTGTCAATGGGTGTAGACTCAGGTCGTAGTGAATGTCCCCACCAAGATTGGAACCAAATCTACACCATTGTGTGAAAGTTATAATGAAACTAGCTCTCAGGCCCCTTTCATGTAGCTCTCAGGCCCCTTTCATGTAGCTCTCAGGCCCCTTACATGTAGCTCTCAGGCCCCTTTCATGTAGCTCTCAGGCCCCTTACATGTAGCTCTCAGGCCCCTTACAGGTAGCTCTCAGGCCCCTTACATGTAGCTCTCAGGCCCCTTTCATGTAGCTCTCAGGCCCCTTACATTCAGCTCTCAGGCCCCTTACAGTAGCTCTCAGGCCCCTTTCATGTAGCTCTCAGGCACCTTACATGTAGCTCTCAGGCCCCTTTCATGTAGCTCTCAGGCCCCTTTCATGTAGCTCTCAGGCCCCTTTCATGTAGCTCTCAGGCCCCTTACAGGTAACTCTCAGGCCCCTTTCATGTAGCTCTCAGGCCCCTTACATGTAGCTCTCAGGCCCCTTTCATGTAGCTCTCAGGCCCCTTACATGTAGCTCTCAGGCCCCTTTCATGTAGCTCTCAGGCCCCTTACAGGTAACTCTCAGGCCCCTTTCATGTAGCTCTCAGGCCCCTTACATGTAGCTCTCAGGCCCCTTTCATGTAGCTCTCAGGCCCCTTTCATGTAGCTCTCAGGCCCCTTTCATGTAGCTCTCAGGCCCCTTTCATGTAGCTCTCAGGCCCCTTACATGTAGCTCTCAGGCCCCTTACATGTAGCTCTCAGGCCCCTTTCATGTAGCTCGTCAAAGGATTTAGAATTTAACAAATGATCTTGAATGAATACATTTTGAGTATAAATATCGGGTAATGCAGTGTTTTGGTATATTTTACATGTTTTCTCCATGTTTTGTCCAAATGATTAGATTGATTTTTACTATGACTGCAAAAAGGAGTAGCTCTCTTCTGTTGTATAAAAGTAGCTCTCCCATTGAAAAAGGTTGGAGATCCCTGGTGTAAATACTTCAATATCAGTCCTATAAAAAATAAAAATAAAAATATATAATGCAAAGTTATATACTGTACATAAAGGGCGGGGAAGTAAGTAGAAAAAGTGACAATCTCATGTTTTAGTTTCACACAAAAAGCTGAATCACAGAAGTAAATAGACTTTTAAACCATATAGAGTCCGTTTCTCCTGTGATAAAGTGGTACCTTTGTGGTTGCTCCTCCTCTCCTGCTCGGCCTTCGGGGAGGTGGTGGTCGGTGACTTGGCGTCTCCTTTCCCTCCCAGCAGCGTGTGTCTGATGCTCAGGGACTGTCGGGAGGAGCGCGGGGACTGCTCCTTTGGGCCGGTCGGACTGAAAGACACCAACACCATGGTTACAACACGCTCCATGTTCTGAGGCTACAGTCGGACTGAAAGACACCAACACGGCTACAACACGCTCCATGTTCTGAGGCTACAGTCGGACTGAGAGACACCAACACCACGGCTACAACACGCTCCATGTTCTGTGGCTACAGTCGGACTGAGAGACACCAACACCACGGTTACAACACGCTCCATGTTCTGAGGCTACAGTCGGACTGAAAGACACCAACACGGCTACAACACGCTCCATGTTCTGAGGCTACAGTCGGACTGAAAGACACCAACACGGCTACAACACGCTCCATGTTCTGAGGCTACAGTCGGACTGAAAGACACCAACACCATGGTTACAACACGCTCCATGTTCTGTGGACTACAGTCGGACTGAAAGACACCAACACCATGGTTACAACACGCTCCATGTTCTGTGGACTACAGTCGGACTGAAAGACACCAACACCATGGTTACAACACGCTCCATGTTCTGTGGACTACAGTCGGACTGAAAGACACCAACACCATGGTTACAACACGCTCCATGTTCTGTGGCTACAGTCGGACTGAGAGACACCAACACCACGGCTACAACACGCTCCATGTTCTGTGGCTACAGTCGGACTGAGAGACACCAACACCACGGCTACAACACGCTCCATGTTCTGTGGCTACAGTCGGACTGAAAGACACCAACACGGCTTCAACACGCTCCATGTTCTGTGGCTACAGTCGGACTGAAAGACACCAACACCATGGTTACAACACGCTCCATGTTCTGTGGACTACAGTCGGACTGAAAGACACCAACACGGCTTCAACACGCTCCATGTTCTGTGGCTACAGTCGGACTGAAAGACACCAACACCATGGTTACAACACGCTCCATGTTCTGTGGACTACAGTCGGACTGAAAGACACCAACACCATGGTTACAACACGCTCCATGTTCTGAGGCTACAGTCGGACTGAAAGACACCAACACCATGGTTACAACACGCTCCATGTTCTGTGGCTACAGTCGGACTGAAAGACACCAACACCATGGTTACAACACGCTCCATGTTCTGTGGCTACAGTCGGACTGAAAGACACCAACACGGCTACAACACGCTCCATGTTCTGTGGACTACAGTCGGACTGAAAGACACCAACACCATGGTTACAACACGCTCCATGTTCTGTGGACTACAGTCGGACTGAAAGACACCAACACCATGGTTACAACACGCTCCATGTTCTGAGGCTACAGTCGGACTGAAAGACACCAACACCATGGTTACAACACGCTCCATGTTCTGTGGACTACAGTCGGACTGAAAGACACCAACACCATGGTTACAACACGCTCCATGTTCTGTGGCTACAGTCGGACTGAAAGACACCAACACCATGGTTACAACACGCTCCATGTTCTGTGGCTACAGTCGGACTGAAAGACACCAACACGGCTACAACACGCTCCATGTTCTGTGGACTACAGTCGGACTGAAAGACACCAACACCATGGTTACAACACGCTCCATGTTCTGTGGCTACAGTCGGACTGAGAGACACCAACACGACTCCTTCTTACCTCCTTTCTCACCTCTCTCCTTCTCACCTCCTTCTCACCCCCCTCTTTCTTACCTCATCAAAGTGTTGTACTCCTTAATTTTGCGACTGATCAGGTCATGGCTGGAGAAGGCAGCGTTCTGGAAAAAGCAGGAGACAAAGGACAGACAAAGAGCACAATACATATTATATTTACTGTACACAGGGTGCCAGATAGTACACAGGGTGCCAGATAGTTCAGTACATCTTTACATACCTGGAATGGGGCGACACAGGTACTATTGCATTCCCAGTATAGTCTGGCCTCAGGACTTGTGTGTAATAATACTGGTGAAACTGATCTACTTTAGCACAGAACGTCAACAACAGCTTTTTATAGTAATAAGTCTGAGTCTGCTTCGTGTTTACGGGAATACATTTTAACATAAAAGTATTTGGTTCTTCTCTAGACAATAGTTAGCAATTTTACAACCATGACATTGACACACAAGAAGGGAAACAGTGTTATAGTTAGACACTCTAGGATCTGTTAATCTGGGTTAGCAGTGAGTTAGCAGTGAGTTAGCAGTGGGTTAGCAAGTTAGCAGTGAGTTAGCAGTGTGTTAGCAGTGAGTTAGCAGCGGGTTAGCAGTGGGTCAGATAGCAGAGCCTCCACTCACATCCTGGTCCGTGCTGTTCTCCTGGATCCCCCTGATCCAGGCCAGCATGTCCTCTCGGTCCTCGGCCTGGAACAGATACTCCGAGTCCGAGGTGGTGAGTCTCAGGACGTTCTTGCGCTTGGTGTCGCTGTAGGAGATGTCGATGAGGCAGGCGGTGATGCAGATGGGCAGAGGCTCCTCCACCGTCTGCCAGTTACTGTGGCTCTCTCTGCGGCCCTCTTTGTACAGACACAGGTACGGGCCCCGGAGCACGGCGTACATCTGCTTCCAGGGACGCATGCCTCCACCGACACGCTGAGAAAACAGGGTATTTTAGTACAGCTGGGAAGGACAGTGGTCAGGAGTCACAAAGCACTGTACAATTGTTTTTTTTGTGTGGCATTTTGTCTCTTTTGTCGCCAGTACAGGAGGCGCAAGCCAGACCTATTGTACATGTTTTTTGGTGTAGAGTAGAGTAGAGTAGAGTAGAGTAGAGTGTCATGCCTCCACTCTTTAAAGCTGGGGTACCTAACTTTTTCAAGCCCAGTGAATGTATCGTGTCCTTTATACAGACCTTTCCTTTCTCTGAACTGAGCTGACGAAACTGCAGCAGTCCTTCTTTAGTCGCGTCACAAAAAATGTCTGAGGAAGAATCTCTCCTGGAGCCTGAGTCTTCAGACGACCGGTCCACAGCCTGAAGAGGGAGAGGAGGGGTTAGACCTGCTTCAGACCTGCTTTAGACCTGCTTTAGACCTGCTTTAGACCTGCTTTAGACCTGCTTTAGACCTGCTTTAGTCCTGCTTTAGACCTGCTTTAGACCTGCTTTAGTCCTGCTTTAGACCTGCTTTAGACCTGCTTTAGACCTGCTTTAGTCCCGCTTTAGACCTGCTTTAGTCCTGCTTTAGACCTGCTTTGGACCTGTTTTAGACCTGCTTTAGTCCCGCTTTAGACCTGCTTTAGTCCCGCTTTAGAGCTGCTTTAGTCCCGCTTTAGTCCTGCTTTAGACCTGCTTTAGTCCTGCTTTAGTCCTGCTTTAGACCTGCTTTAGTCCTGCTTTAGTCCTGCTTTAGACCTGCTTTAGACCTGCTTTAGTCCCGCTTTAGAGCTGCTTTAGTCCTCCTTTAGACCTGCTTTAGACCTGCTTTAGTCCTGCTTTAGACCTGCTTTAGACCTGCTTTAGACCTGCTTTAGTCCCGCTTTAGTCCTGCTTTAGTCCTGCTTTAGTCCCGCTTTAGTCCTGCTTTAGACCTGCTTTAGACCTGCTTTAGTCCTGCTTTAGTCCCGCTTTAGACCTGCTTTAGTCCTGCTTTAGACCTGCTTTAGTCCTGCTTTAGACCTGCTTTAGTCCCGCTTTAGACCTGCTTTAGACCTGCTTTAGACCTGCTTTAGTCCCGCTTTAGTCCTGCTTTAGTCCCGCTTTAGTCCTGCTTTAGACCTGCTTTAGACCTGCTTTAGTCCTGCTTTAGACCTGCTTTAGTCCTGCTTTAGTCCTGCTTTAGACCTGCTTTAGTCCTGCTTTAGACCTGCTTTAGTCCTGGTTTAGTCCTGCTTTAGACCTGCTTTAGTCCTGCTTTGGTCCTGCTTTAGACCTGCTTTAGTCCTGCTTTAGTCCTGCTTTAGACCTGCTTTAGTCCCGCTTTAGAGCTGCTTTAGTCCCGCTTTAGTCCTGCTTTAGATCTGCTTTAGTCCTGCTTTAGTCCTGCTTTAGACCTGCTTTCGTCCTGCTTTAGTCCTGCTTTAGACCTGCTTTAGACCTGCTTTAGTCCCGCTTTAGAGCTGCTTTAGTCCCGCTTTAGTCCTGCTTTAGACCTGCTTTAGACCTGCTTTAGTCCCGCTTTAGAGCTGCTTTAGTCCTGCTTTAGACCTGCTTTAGACCTGCTTTAGACCTGCTTTAGTCCTGCTTTAGTCCCGCTTTAGAGCTGCTTTAGTCCCGCTTTAGTCCTGCTTTAGACCTGCTTTAGACCTGCTTTAGTCCCGCTTTAGACCTGCTTTAGACCTGCTTTAGACCTGCTTTAGACCTGTTTTAGACCTGCTTTAGTCCTGCTTTAGACCTGCTTTAGACCTGTTTTAGACCTGTTTTAGACCTGCTTTAGTCCTGCTTTAGACCTGCTTTAGTCCCGCTTTAGACCTGTTTTAGACCTGCTTTAGACCTGCTTTAGTCCCGCTTTAGTCCTGCTTTAGACCTGCTTTAGACCTGCTTTAGTCCCGCTTTAGACCTGCTTTAGACCTGCTTTAGACCTGCTTTAGACCTGCTTTAGACCTGTTTTAGACCTGCTTTAGTCCTGCTTTAGACCTGCTTTAGACCTGCTTTAGACCTGTTTTAGACCTGTTTTAGACCTGTTTTAGACCTGCTTTAGACCTGCTTTAGACCTGCTTTAGTCCCGCTTTAGACCTGTTTTAGACCTGCTTTAGACCTAAATGACTGACCTTCCTCAGACTCTTCAGACCAGGGATGAATGATGTCCTGAAAGAAGAAGAAACCAAAGTCAAACAAAAGCCTTATTCCACCTGCTCAGAGGTGATAAATCAAACGCACCCTCTCCGCCCGTCTCTGTAGTTATCCAAACCCTCGTCACACGACTTGGAACGCTCTGTTTTTGTGCCTGAGTCTGAGTCTATGACAGTGAGACGCATGGAGTCTGAAAACACAAAGGTGCCGTGAATCAGCTTTGGCTGTAACCCCCATGATGCATCAGACTGTATGACATTTGTCTGTTTTCTTTATGTTCCTACTCAAATAAACCAATAATAAAACAAATGAAAAAACGTGTACCTTGATCATGTGACAGCTGACGGCGAATGAAAGGGGAGGGGGAGGTGGGGCTGGGGGGGATGGTGGTGATGACGGGAGCAGCAGAGGTCATCACAGAGAGAACACTGTCCTGGTCCATGCTCGAACTCAAGGGTTCGTCTGGAAAACAGATAAATATAACACTGGGAAACAAAAAAATATTGTTTGAAAACAGTCCAGGGTTTTTCAGCTGAATTAGACTAATGTTGATGCTCTGAGTCCGAAAATGACCTTGGTTCAATCAGGTCAGGATTCTTTGCTACAGAAATATTTTTTTAAATCGATTTTGGGTAAAAAACAATTTTCTGCGGATCATCAGCTGAGAAACCCTTGAAGTTTTTTCCGTTTTCCTCAAGAAATGAAAGTCAACGTATCCAAAGTCATTCAGTTATTATTTACTCCATCAAATTTGATGAGCAGAATTCATAATAATGTAGACGTACGTAATCCGTAACACTATGTATCTCACAAAGTTGACCTGATAGAGCAAAGTGCATGTGATATTCGGACTCAGAACACCAACATTAGTCTGAATCAGTTGACCATTTTTTGGCTGTCAACTTGTGTTATTATACTATATTATGTCTGTAAATATATATTTATATTTATTATATATATATAAACAGATAGTGCGGGGGACTTCGGGCTGAGAGAGAATGCAACGATTTGTCTGGTTTAGCAGCTAACAGGCTAAGCTAAACATGTAAACAGGAATAGATGAGAAGTTAAACGCACAATAATATAAACTTTGTTTGTTTTAACCTTTTTAGTGACATTTACTATGTGTATTATAATCAAGTGGATGTTATCAATATTACTTGCAGCTAACATTTGTTAACTTTTTTGAAACTATTTCAGTTTAGTAGTTCAGTAACTAGTTCCTGGTAATAGGAGCGGGGTGGAACCTTCCTCTCCCTCAGTCCTCTCTTGTTCTTGTTCATTGGTTTCACAGAAATGATTGTTTCTCGTAATCTTTTTGCTTGTTTTATTCCTGCACTTTTTAGCTTGTTTTATTTAGGTACTTTTGCAGATGTATTTCAATCTGGTTTTACTGCAAAGGTCAAATAAACTGATTCCTGACCTGTCTGTGATGCTTTCTGCAGTTTTAAATCTTACCAATGAACGGTATTGAATCCAGGGACCCATCCAGACGGGATCCATCCAGACAGGACCCGGCCTTGAGCTTGGAGTCCTCCAGCCTCCTGAAGTGCAGTTCCCGACACACGGCGCCCTCTGACCCCGCCTTCACCAGCGCACGGGGCCTTTGCACGGCGCCACGCTCATTCACTGCAGAAACATAGGAGGGGGGTGGATCGTGCTGTGCGTCTGGCTTTCTGTCTCTCCTCATCACATCCGACCCCTCCACACCGTCGGCGTTAGTCCGTATGCCTGAAGTGGCTTTTGGTTGTTGTGCTATTGCGGGCGTGGCCTGCTCCAGTCTGTGTATGGCTAGTTTGGACGAGACGCCGGAGCAGGAGGAGGATCGAGCCGCGAGGCCTCCTTCCGCCCGGTTTTCCATTTTGAGGCTGTCGGCTCGGGTCCTGAGGAGGTGGACGGGGGAGGAGTAGCCCACGTGGTTCCCCATGACGCTGGGTCTTTGGTCTTTGACGGGCACCGAGGCGGGAGCAGGGGATAAGGCCGGAGAGAAGTCTGAGGTTTTGACAGGAAGTCGTGAAGGCCGCATGATGAGACCGTCTGTGTTGGATGGATCAGAACCTGGAACAGAGATTTAACGATTACTCTGAGATGTGTTGTCTGGGATTTGGATTAAAGAAATAGCGACGCTGACTATTTGTTCTAATACAAGTCAAAATTCAATTATATACAGTATATATATATGTGTGTAAAAGACTAAAACCCAACAGCATTCATCTCTGAGCTCGATTAACAAGTCATAGGAGCCAAAAATGTTAATATCATCCCAGACCTTAGACCCTCCTGCATCAGAGAGGAACCACTCACAACAGAAACCCCAGGGCTTGACTCTATATCTAACCTGGTCTTAACACCACATTGTACTCAAAGGGAAATTACAAATAATAAAAATGAACAAAATGACACATTCAAGCATTAATATTGTAACATATTTCTAGTACTGTTGACACTATAAGACACTCATTGCCGGTGTCAAGGTGGTCGCTCCTACTTCACTTTTCTCAGTAGAAAAACTGCTAGTCAAAAAAATGTGTTTGTGAATATTATTATTATTATAGAGCGCCACTTAAGGGTTTGTGAGAACGAAGAACTAAGCAGATACTTTTTTAAAACTACACACTCATAGTAAGTATTAATGCTGGGTTTTTTTCTTTTGCGTCTGAAGCTCTTTGGGCAGTGTTGTTATGAACGTGCTATACATATAAATCTGACATTGACATTATGTTTGACACCAAGACTGTATTTAATGATTGCTGTGAGTTCTTAAAATGAAAACAGAATCAAACCTTTAGGAGACAGAGAAGCAGCGACCGGCGAGTTTGTGGTTCCACCTTCTGTCCGTCTGTCGGGTCTCCCATCCGCTCTCTGACCTTCTCTTTCCTCCACGCTCGCATCAGCCCGTCCCGTCTCCGACCCCCGCTGCCTGATGTGGTCACAGG